CACATAACATAGTGCAGATCTTATGATGATGGTGGCAGCTCTGCACATTTTGAATATGACCACTTGATAACCACGTAACAGGTCTCCACAGGAAATACTTTGTTTTGGAATAAGTAGCAGTTTCACTATAGCACCTCTGGAAGACAGTTCTGATTAACTCATGAAGAAGCTAAGATGCCAGTGGTTCAGTAATGGTGCCCGAAGATTTAAGCCTGCTAATAATACCACACACAGGAGAAAAAACATGCACACATTTTACTTGTTACTTACAATGTCTGTAAAGACTCCAGGCCTCATCAAATTGATCATCTTCGCTACCTGGTAAACATCCACTGAATTTTCATTTTCCAGTTGATGCATCAGTGTTGTTAACGCACAGAAAGTGCCTGCTGTCACCCCGCCATGCCTTTGTGAAGTTAGAAAAACAAACAAAACAACACACACACAGAAGAAGTCTCTGGAAACTGGATCAAATTTGTACAGTTGGAGAACACACAAAATCCAGGGTAAACTGATGAGATTAATTTCTGTCATTTGATCATTACACTTTCTGGAAGAGGCCTGTCAAGCACTCCTTGAACACAACCTTTGCAGCACTTGGCTACAACTTCTGGAGAGTCTTTAAAAGCCAGTCTTAGAGTTATTTCCCTATAATCTTCTACAAAACAAATCCTGAAGGCCTCAGGTCCTTCAGTATTTCATCATTTCATTACTTTTGGCTATTATTATACAGCTGGAGAAGGATAAGGTGCCTCATCTGAATAGTCTAGCTTCTTTTAGTAAGAAACTATGAAGATCTGATTGATCTCCTTCCTCTCCAGTGCCCTACTTGACAATCACCCAGAGTATCAAAATGATACTCTGAAATTGAAAAGAGAACATTGAAGTGTGATAAAATAAAAATGTTTCTCTTATTGATGCTGCTGAAACAGAAGCAGCAGCACTGTTTTTAGGAGCAGACTTTGTGCCTTGTTTCAGCGGCTTTCACTCTAAATGAGATGAAAGGATAGCCCTACAGACAAAAAAAAACATCAAAAGAAACTGAAAGCTGCAGTTCTTACTCATCATGTACAATCATGGGTCCATCACGGTTGGAAGTTTCCTCTTTGATGATGCTGATCAGTTCAAATGTTTTACTAATAGGACTATCAGGATTTGGCCATTTTGGACACTGAAAATGCCTCACTTCAAGTACATAGTCATCCTAAAAGGGTGAAAAAAGCATAATTCAATTTGGTAAAAGATCAGCTATCTTTATTCTTATCTTTCATCCTGTTCCAGTCCGGCTCCAGCTTACACATACAGAATTCCACTGCTGTGGAGGTTAGACTGCTTGTCACCACATTACCTACATAGATTTCTCTCTGGGTGTTTCAAAGGTATGGAATTTTATCACTCATATACCATGGAAAATGTAATAAAATGTAGGCATTACCTTTAACAAATCAAGTCCTGAGTTACTTGTTTATGACAGTGTTACCTGTGTAGCTTCTAAAATAAAGTCTTGGATTATGAGCTTCTCCTCATTAGACAAACACCTGTGTTCTTCAGCAATCATCGTAACTTTGAAGGTCTCACAGTTTATAGGCTCATCTTTGTTTGGCCAGTATACAAATTCATCTTCAGCCTCCAGGAAAAAAAAAACAAACACACAAGAAGCCATAAAAGTAAGTAATGTTGAGCTCTTAAAATAAAACTTAATCCAACATAATAAATAATACCTAATCAGTGCAGCCAGCTAGATTTAAACTGACAAGAATTTGAGTGGGATTACAGACATCACAAGTGATGGTTTTCAGACACCTATGTAGTGATCCTGATCAGAAGACCACTGTATCCTGTGGAGATAGTGACCCACATAACAGCCAATATGTGCTGTGCCACACATCCAGCCTGGCCTTCAGGCTGTGTTGTGCTGCCCATAGCCAATGGTCACAGGATAAACACATCTGGTGGTTTGTAACGTGGGAGCCTGCAGGCAGCTCCCACTGCCCTGATGAGACACCACTTGCACGGCCTTGGGATTATCTAAAAGCGCAGCAAGAAGTTCTCAAGAGAACAACCTCCCTGTTTGTCAGCAGAAACGATAAACAGTTATTTTCTTTTATGAAAATCCTGTAATAGTCTGAATGACCAAAATGGGGGTAACCCTTCCATGGATGAGAGCCACATGGTATGATGTACCCTCATAAGAGACCTATTCCATGCACAGCTTGGGGTTCCCAGCATCTATCTGGTGGGATGTAAGATTACCTCTCCTTTATACTGTTAGACTGCGTGGAGATCTCATAGCAGCCTTCCAATATCTGAAGGGGACCTACAAGGATGCTGTAGAGGGACTCTTCGTTAGGGACTGTAGTGGTAGGACAAGGGGTAATGGCTTTAAACTTAAACAGGGGAAGTTTAGATTAGATATAAGGAAGAAGTTCTTTACAGTGAGGGTGGTGAGGCACTGGAATAGGTTGCTCAAGGAAGTTGTGAATGCTCCAACCCTGGAGGTGTTCAAGGCCAGGCTGGACAGAGCCTTGGGGGACATAGTTTAGTGTGTGGTGTCCCTGCTCATGGCAGGGGGGTTGGAACCAGGTGATCTTAAGGTCCTTTCCAACCCTAACTATTCTCTGATTCTATAAGTAGCATTTTAAATGATACTTTACACAGTTTGAGTGTCTTTCTTATTTGGAGTATAATGAACCAGTGCTTCCTAGCAAAACAACCTCCCTTACCACAAGGGCATTAGTCTTAGTTGTACATGTTTTTCCAATTACGCGAGATTCTCCAAAACATGACTTTCCTACAAACTCCTTACCAAACATTATGCCCTTTTGCACAAGATTGGTCTAAGTACCAACCTAAAAGCTCTCAGATATTCTTGCATTTCTACTAACTGAAAAACATAGTAATTTGTTATTAAATTACACATGCAGGATGAAAATGTGTTTTTCCTTTGCTGTTTAGGGTCAGTTAAATCCCAGCTAAACATTTCTTTGCAATTTTAGGAGGTGAGTGAGAGAATCATAGAATCATTTAGGTTGGAAAAGACCTTTAAGATCATCAAGTCCAACCATTAACCTAGCACTGACAAATCCACAAGTAAATCATGTTCCTAAGTGCCACATCTACACGTCTTTAAATACCTCCAACAATGGTGACTTGACCACTTCCCTGGACAGTCTGTTCCAATGCTTGACAATCCTTTGGATGAACATGTTCTTCCTAATATCCAATCTAAAGCCCTCCTAGTGCAACTTGAGGCTGTTTCTTCTTGTCCTCTCGTTATTTGGGAGAAAAGACTGACACTCACCTCCTTACAACCTCCTTTCAGGTAGCTGTAGAGAGCAATAAGGTCTTCCCTGAGCCTCTTTTTGTTCACTCTAAACAATCCCCGTTTCCTCACACACTCCTCATAAGACTTGTTCTCCAGACCCTTTACCAGCTTCATTGCTCTTCTTCTTTGGACATGCTCCAGCACCTCAATGTCTTTCTTGTAGTTAGAGGCCCAAAACTGAACACAGGATTCAAGGTGCAGCCTCACCAGTGCTGAATACACGGGAATGATCACTGCCCTGGCCCTGCTGGCCACACTATTTCTGATACAGGCCAGGATGCAGTTGGCTGCCTCGGCACCAGTTGACCAACACTTTTCCACCAGGCAGCTTTCCAGCCACTCTTCCCAAGCCTGTAGTGTTGGATGGGGTTGTTGTGACCCAAGCGCAGGACCTGGCACTAAGCGTTGTTGAACCTCATACAACTGGCCTTGGTCCAACTGTATGATTGGACCATTGATCCAGCCTGTCCAGATCCCTCTGTAGAGCCTTCCTACCCTCAAGCAGATCAATACTCCTGCCAACTTGGTGTCTTCTGCAGACTTACTGAAAGTGCACTCAATCCCCTTGTCATTGATACAGATATTAAACAGAACTGGTCCCAGTACTGAGCCCTGGAAACACCACTTGTGACCAGTCACCAACTGGATTTAACTCCATTCACCACCACTCCCTGGGCTCTGTCATCCAGCCAGTTTTTTGACATTGCTCCTGGCCCAAACATCAACCACTGTCATGTAAGAAACAACCTCATATTTCTCCCTTTACCTAATAACGGCTGAGGAAGCCATATTACAACTGAAGTAAAAGTCCTGGAGCAAAAATTAACCTTGCACAACAGACACTTCTGCTGTTTGGGTCTTTTTATAAACTATACAGGAATGATTCAATACTTTCTCATGCCAGTTGCAATCTGCCCAGACAAGAATCTCCAGATTTCCAGTAGATGATTTGGAGATTTTACACTCAGTACAATATTATTAATTTTTAATTTTTTTTCCCCGAATATTGTCTCCTGTCTTGTTTCAAATATTTTCAAAGATATTGTCTCCTGTCCTGCATATTTCACAACAGTAACACTAATAGAATTCATATGTAAACTGGTAACAATCAGCCACAAAACTTACCATATTCTGGCTGTCAGGAAGCATGACTATTAGCTGGGCATTATGGTCCCATATCATTCTCCAGAAATCCTTGATAGTGTGTAGTAAGGGATGCTGGGTAATAATGAATTCATTACTCTGATAATAACCCTGCAAAACAAACATCAACAGACTCAGAACTGATGTCCAAGTATTAACATTTAAGGGAAGCTTATAGTGGACAGAGCCAGAAGCCTAGAAAATAAATTGCAGCCTTGTGCCTCTTTTGACTTCCTACATATCTTCCAAGAATATAAAACTTCCATTGCAGTGTTTTCCTGATGAAAAGAATAAATTAAATGACACTGAAATAATTTTTAAAACTTAAAGAAACTTGATTAAAAAAGAAAGACAAATCAGTGGAGACTTGAACAGCCAACTCGGAATGAAAATACATTAACTCATACACACACGCTGATTGTTCTACACGAGCCAGAATTCCAGAGAAGCTGGCAACCTGAAACAAATTAAAAAATACTTGAAAGAGCTGCAAAAATCCCAGGGAGTCTCTTAATTTGTACAGATGTCCCAGATCAACTTCTTACCATGAAAAAGAATTCCTTTGCACTGATGTACCTGATGAAAGATCATGCATACAAAGCACGGCAGGGAGTTTTCCTACCTCTTTCCTGAATGTCCAGGAAGCATTTACTCCTCACTCTCAGCTAATGAAGGGGAAAAGGGTTTAAGAAAACCCAGGGAACAAAAAGATAATGGAAAGCTGATGAGCTATGCTGCCTTGGGCTATGCCAGTTGCAAAAGCTCGGTGAGATAAGCAGGTTGGAAGGCAAACCACAGCACAGCCATTAAAAACTAATTTGTTAGTTAACACTTTTATTTCACCTCTGAAGATTCTTCCGGAGTTGGCATTTAGCTTTACCAGTTTTTAAAACTAGGATGGGATTTGTGGTTCTACAGATCATTAAAGTGTAATGCATTTAACCAAACTTAAAACCAATAAAACCAGTAATAATAGTTCCTGGGGGAAGTAACTCTTTCAGGCAGAGTGATTTCAGGCAGATTTCCTGGAATAAAGGAACTTTCAAAATCAGGACTGTGCTACCCAAACTTAAACATGTGGCAGCTCTGACAACAGCTATACAAAGGGACAATGTTTTCACCAATACAGTTAACTGACTTACCATAATATAAGAAGCATTGATGTAGTCTGTCCCTTCACCAGACAGTGATGAGATACCCACTCTAGATCTTTCCACTGTAAAAAAAAAAGTCACAATCTAGTATGTATGTTGTAATGACTCATATATTACAGCAATTATCTCACATATCTCACAATAATGATAACACTAAGCTCCATCAATCAGGATAAAGTGCCATTCAGCCATCTATTTTGTTTTCCTATGTGTAGTACTTAAATAATTTCCTCAGTAAAAGTGCTTTACAGAACACTGCTGTACACCCATGCAGCTGTCTTCAGTTCTTGCTGAGGAAAGATTAAAGTCTTGACACACACACCCTGGTCATAAACATTTTGCCATGCTACGAGAAGCTGATTTGAACAAGCTTACCAGGAATGATGGATGAAGTTCGGTTCTTTTCTCTGTTGCACTGTTTGAGTGCAGTTGAATAATCACACTGGTGTGTGTTAGACTGGCTCAGTAACTGAAACAATGAAGTTAAACAAACAAACAAATCAATATAAAATATAATAAAAATAAATTTTGTAACTGTATAAAACCCACTCCTTCATTAGCTGGATTTAACAGAAGAGTGCATGTATTGCAGGTTGGCTGTCTCTCAGCTGTAGGTATCTAGCTATCTGGCTAAAACACAGCAAATCATGAGAATCTTTTTTTCTTCACTGTTTTATCAGTTCAAATGATTTTTGATCCCTAGATAGCTTAGCATGTCTTTGAAGGAAAAGCTACTTTATGTTTTCTATAACCAGACCCTCAGTACTTGCTGCCATCCTGGTGTCACTTCCATTTTGCCTGCACAGCTCTAAATGTCTGTGCAGAAAAATCTGCATTGTTATGCTGACAGTATTAGCTCCTGATGTGAGGCATTTCTAGATATCTCAGTTATGAGCTTTCCCATTTTCTCTCCAAACCTGTGGGAGTAAAATAGGATGGGGCGACTGTCTCATTGACTTGCTTGTTTCGACTAACACAATTCAAACGCACGAGTATGGGAAGGAACGAGTATATACATATACACACCACAATGGTGTATATATACTGCTTAGGCATGAAGTAAGCTTGGAAAGATTTTTCCTAGATTTTAGGTTGGTGGTGGGTTTTTTTTGTGGTGTGGTTTTTTTTTTTTTTTTTCCTAGTAAAATGAACTGTATTAATCAGAACGTTCAAGAGTTCAAAAGATTTCTCTGTGATGTTTTGGGCTGGGCATGTGTAGCTTTCAGAAGCTGCCTGCTTGGAAAAAACAGACAGCAAAACAGGGAGGTTCCATAAAAATGAGTTAGACCAGAATTTTGTTTCATCTAAAACAGTTCTTCAGTATTTTTATTATTCCAATAATTTTAGCTTACAAAGGAAAATGAGACTAAATGAGACATATCCCTTTCTGATAATATTTAAGCTCCTGGAATTGGAGCTCTGCATGGCTCCTGCAATTTGCACTGCACACTCTGTCCTTACATATATTTACACACTCTGTTTGTATATGTGTTTTATTCTTTCATCTGTGTAGGAAAGGTGGGATGCTTATTTCCCCAATCACATCACAGCTGACATAAGAGGCCATTCTTTTCCTTAGGAGAAAACAGTGCAACACTGTTGTATCATTCAAGCCATGATAGCAGCAAAGTGTGAAATCCTTTGGTATGTTGTTCCTATTCTGTTACTCTGTACTGTTCATTATCTTGAAGAAATACCAGTTACTGTGCCTGTGTGGCCAAAATACATCAGAAAATAAAAATATTAATATTGTTCATAGCCTTATTGTGTACTGATATTATCTACAGACTTATCTGCTTAAGTTCTTTACTTACGATCCAATAGATTATTGTAGAACGAGTACACATTGTCCCATGCAGTCCTCCCTAGAATTGAAATCTTTAGAGAGAAAGGTTCTAATAATTCATTTCCTATTAAATTAGGGAGACCAAATTTTGTTTTACCATATAATCTGGAAAGCATTTAAGTGTGATTTATTTCTCTGGATTTAAATTCATTTGAAAAGGTAGGATTTTCTGTGTTTCCTCTATAAGGGACTTCTCATTCTTCCTATGGGTCAATGAGCTGTTTCTCTTACAGACTCTGGGCTGTTACCCTGCTGGGTCTGCTCTTTCTCTGGATGGCTGAAAGTCCTGTGCATGTACACACTGATCTCCACATCCACAGGCACCAAAATGTTCACTTACTGCCTGCTGAGGTGAAGTCTGTCTTCTAGCCAGAGCTGTACACTGAGGGGAATATGCTGATTGATCAATATAGCTCATGACATTTTTGCCAGAATGACATCTTTCCAGACTTCTGTTTTACCTTTGGGATCTTCAGGCAAAGACATGTAGTTAGATTTTCCAAAATCTACTTACTGGCCTATTTCTCATGGGGTTTTTTTTGTTTGTTTGTTTGTTTTTTTTTTTTTAATTCCTCTTTAAGAATGTGCACATAATTATGGGCGATTACTCTGACTGCATGCATTTGTTAAACTGTTCTGAATTTAAGCTCAGCAGTTGAATTTTAGATAAAGAAAGCTCATGAAAGTTGTGTTGAGATACCTATATTTTTAAGTCATTCAAGCTTGCAAGCCTAAAGCTTTTCACATTGCTGTCTGAGAGAGCTCACCTTGAATTGTTTCTCCAGTCTGGTCTTTCCTGTTGGTCCAGGTATCAAGAGGGCATTAACATAGGCATGAATGTGAGTCTCAAGGACTTCTGTTTCTTTACTGAGTATTGCTTCGACCAAGGCATCATGAATGAAGATGTATTGCTCCTAGGAAAATTAAAACAGACATCTGAGCTCTAATTATTTTCAGATTCCCCTAGACACCTCTGGCTGAGCTGCCACTTCTGACACGGTCAGTATTTCTTCACAGCATGATGCTGTGAGGGAGTTTCCTCAGAAGTGATCCTCTGCAGTGAAGGCTGTCCCTCTGCAGTGTCAGTACCCATTTACAAGCACAACTGAACTACACATGCAATGTATGTATGATATGATACCAAATTGCCACTACCTGTGGCTCAGAGAACAGAGTTAAAAATGCAAACATAACCTTGAGTTGAGGTTTCAAGCCAGCTTGTTATGTGACTCTCCTGCCTTTCTTGCAATAGCGATCACTCCCAGTTCCTACTGCTATCCTCCATTTTCTCTCTCACATCCTTTGGAGCAAGTGTCCATGCTGTTGCTGATTACCTTTTTATCTACTGAAAGGCACTGGGGAATTTAACCACCTGTCTTTGAATCCTGAAATATATTTTCAAATGCCCTGCTGTTGTCCTTATTGTTTTCTTCTGGGCTTTCACTATTCTATATATAATCTTCAGTTTAAAGCAGCTATAATCTTCTGTCTGAAACAGCTTTTTTCCCTGCTTTTTATTGGTTAATATCAACTGTTTGATCAGGTTCAGTGAAGATCTGAACACCTAACGATGGTGCTTCCTTAAAAAAACCTATGACAAAAATGCACACCCTGACAAGAAAGTGCTGCTGTGGGAAGTGTAATTTATATAGACTTTCTCTCTACCAAGTTCTCTCTAACAAACAAAGAGCCCATAGACACATAATTTCTAGTGCACTGCTCTAAGCGAGCTTTGAAGAATGCCTCTATAAAAACAAGGAAAGCAAAAGGGAAAGTCCAGTCTCCTGACTGGTTGCCAGTCAGTCTGGTGGTGCCAAAAGGAGGACTGTATCATCTCTCCTCCTGCAAACAGAAATCTTCTGTAATAGTCTCTTGATATATGTATTTCATTCTTACCTCAGTCTGCACCAAGTAGTTCCTTTGGGTACGTATGTGTTTTAAGAATCCAAATATGTTGACTGTCCCTTCATGCTGAATTTGCTGCAGCATGCTGTCTAACACTATGTATGTGCCTGTCCTTCCAACACCAGCACTACAAAACAAAAAAATAGTCTTGAGCCTGAAGTAAAACAATAATGAAATTAACTGTTTCATTTACACAGCTTTTTCAACAAACTGGTGTGTAAGCAAGATTTTCCTCTACAAATCATTTTATTGTATAATATCCTTCAGGGATGGTAACGAAGGAAAATCTTGAAAACTCAACTTTTTCTGTGCAAGAACAGATCTAAAGATCATTTTCTCAAATGATTTTTAAAGTATCAATTGAAATAATTGAAATCAATTGAATAATTGAAACTAAGGGATTTCCTGCCGGTCTGCAATTTCCAGGCTTCTGATATTCCCTAGGATATTTTGTCAAATATACCTAGAAAGGGTGGCATATGTCAGCAGCATTTGGGCACAGTTAATATGCTTATGCTGTTCTACGTTGGAACACACATCACTTTGAAGGGAAAGTTTCATTATGCCACCCATTACAGATGTAGGAGGTTTCAAAGACTCCAGACTGAGGAAAACCCCAGGAAGGGGCAGAGCTGCTGAAGGTACACCCGTGAAAGAAAAAGCTTAGTGCTTTTCAGACACAGCTAACGTGGCAAGCAATGGTTGAAACCCTTCTTAAAATGATGCAGAAAAAAGGGTTAATCAGCTCACTCCTGTTACAAACTCTGACTCATTTAGCACAAAAATGGCTGTATTGTAAAACTAAAATGCAACTTTTTCTTTCACAAAATATCTGAGTAGGGAGTACAAGGTCAAGAATTCATTTTTTGTTACCTAGTCATATATGGGAATTAGTCAGTTGTAATTTTCCTCTAAGTTATGAGGAAACCTTATGTATATCGGTACACGTAACTTGACAGCAACCCTGTGCTGGGTCTGCATGGTCTCTTACGGGCAGATCCAAGCTCAGTCTGTACATGCTAATTCAGTCATCTACTTTCTTCCACAGAGGTGGCAAAATGCATGGGTAGCGTGAGTCCAGATTGCCGTAATAAACTTTCTAAATAAATGTGATATAAAACCAAAAGGTCCATGTTATTAACATTCTATTACATGCAAAAAAGTATAAAGATTACCAGATACCATCTGTACTTGTTATGCAAGACTGAATATGAAAAGTATCAAAACATAAAAATAGCTAAAAAAAGTTTAATGAAGTTTATCATCTATGTCCTCCATATAGCCTGTAAAGATAAATGAAAGTTGCATTTCTAACATGAGGTAACTCCTTTGAAATGCTGTAGTGCATGGGGACAGGTCAGCTAAAAGCTGAATAAAACTGCCTACACAGGCAGAGGTGAGTTATATCTATATACAGGTCTGACTGAAGCCACAGAACTTACCACTGTTCGCTTTTTAAAAACTGAATTTAACTGACTTATCATGTATCGCTGATCTCTCAACCCACTGACATAGATCTCAGACTTGGCATTTTGGGGAAACTCTTATTTTGAACCTCCCAAGAACAGGCAGGATGTAGATAGCAGCAGAACAACCAAAATATGGAATTTTCAATTTCCAAGCTAAAAACAGATTTCAATCAGATTAGATCATCCCAGAAATAAAATATCTTCATTTGCAGCATTTGTGAGACGACTTTACCTGTTGGCTTCCTCAGAGTCAGCTCCAGAAGGACAGAATTCATGAGGAGGTTCTCTTTCCAAATGTTCCATCAAAGGTGAGGTACTACAGTGGAAAACCAGAACCTGCTTATATATTTTAGAATAACCCGGTCCTTCACGGGCATTGTGAAGTCATTCCAGGCCCTACAAGCCCTTTTTAACAAATTTTCCCTGAGCTGCCCAGTTTTAGTGAGCACTGACAGAACACCTGCCTGCACACTGCAGCACATGCAGACCTCAAACCATTCCCCAGAATGCTCCTCCATTGCAAATGACTGCTAGAGCGCAGAGTAATGTTAAGAACAGCAGAGTTGAAGTTCAGCCAGGAATAGAGTGAGTCTTCTTTTGTGGACAGAGCTCCTCTTAGGATTACAGAGTATCCCTGCACCAAAGAAAGCATGAGCCAAAAACATCCTAGCAATGTATTTGCAGAAATTAAACAATTGCTGCTATACCTGTATCTGGTAAGCTCACAGCAATCAAGAGAGTAGGATAGAAATGTGCAAAAAAGGTAAAAATAAAAACATTTTTGCAAAAAAAAAAGAAAAAAAAAGGAACATAGTGCAGAGCAGCAGCATCTTGTTTATGGAGATTTATAGAAGTGGCACAGACAGTTGATTAGTTGGCCTTACCAGGGATAGAAATATCATCTAAGGAATTAATCTTATTCCATCAGGAACTGTTAAACGTGAGAGTGAAATTTTGCTTAACCCACCACTGAAAAATTCTTTTTTCTGCAAAACAAAAGCAGAGTGAACCTTACAGCAGTAAAAACCACACCTGCAATGAACCACAACAGGCCCGACAGCGTGGCGCTTGGCATGCGATGCCTTCCGCACGAAGGTGAGAACAGGCAGCGTGTATTCAGGGACACCCATGTCAGGCCACTGGGTATAATGGTACTGAGTTACTATACGTCCACTAGACCTCCCCTTCTGGGAACCCTGCAGGAGAAGAATATTTCCATATGTAAGCAGGCCACATCTCTGCATAACTTGGCAATGCTTCATGATATTATTTCCATACTCATTAGTTCCTGAATTAGTAATGTCCCAGTTTAGTTAATGTCATGCCACCTAGCTCTGAATATTTCACCTTTCAAAGAGAAGAGGAAGGGCCAGTGCTTCTGTCACATCAGCTTGCCCCTTGAATGGAAAAATGACCTTGCACTGTCCCTTAGAAAACCACAGAGAAAGGTTAAGAGCACTGGAGGCCCTACAAATTACAGCTGCTCTTGAGAGTCTCCTGCTATTTCTGCCACTCTGCTTCTCTGTTGGGTGGACAGAAAGAGTAGGATTCATCTCACCCAGCTTCAGTGACCTACAAGGGAAGTAGGCTGGTGGAGACTGCTTTTCTAAGCTCCCTCCCTCAGTGACAACTCAGAGGCAGGGATACCTTCGGAGAGCAGGTCATTTTGTTTAAAGATTGGTTTCTAAAATAGGCAGAACAAATTACTTGAAAGTAAGTGCTGTACATTATGCAGTAATTATACAGCGAGGTCAAGGGACTAGATGTCTTACATGTAGGAGTCTGAAAGAAATGAAACTTCAGTATTCCCCTCAAAGTAGCCGATGCCACACTGCTGTGCTGAGATCATGCTGGTTTTGATTACAATAAACCAAGGTGTGGATCCACCTGTCCTTAAAAAGGAAAATGGGTATCTGAGGGGGACGACTTAATTCATACCGCATTTTCTGCTAGTTGCTATGTTTCTGAAAATGTATCCTCCTGCTCACCAGGCAGGCAAAGGCCACATCAGCTCTCCAATGTGATCACTGATTTTCCCTGATGGTCCTATATCGCACCAGTACTACAGGCCAGTCTTTTCAGTTTGTTGATCTGGTCAAACTGACAAGCACCATGGCTGGCTGAGACCTACAGGATTCAGCTTTACATATACAACAGAAAAGAGCTGCCAACTGCCTTGAAAAATATTCTGAGTGACACTCCCTTTTGCCCAATTATGTTTTCATGATGCCACAAACCTTTTTGATCTTGGTGTTTCTAAGAGTAAAATTCCTCACAGTGTAATAGGCAAGTACATGAACACTCTTCTGAGTTACTAAGAAGTTCCCATATTCTTCACTACCTTCAGCAGGCCAGTACTGGTCACATTTTCTCTGTTAGAAAGCAATAGAAAAACGGAGAAAAAGACAAAGAAAACAAAATGTCAAACTAGCAAGCTGAAATATTCAAATTTCAGAGCACAATCAACCACAAAAACATATGGGGACTCTCAATATACCCAGTTTATAAGCCATGATCTTCAGCGCAAGAGAACAAAAAATGTGCATTTATTTTGTGCTGTAAAGATCAATGGCTGTGTGGAGATACTCTTTATCTGGAATACTCCAAAAAAAGAGAGGTTTAAATCATACTATCCAAGTTAAAGGGCTCTAGTATTGTGGAACATGCCATTCTACAGACACTCTGAAATTTAAACAAATCCCCAGATAATCTATAGGAAAAATAGGAATATATTCAAGTCAGTGGAGTTGCATGTGCATTTTGGTTGGCTCATAGCATGGGCAGAGGATACTTTTATCTGATCAGCAAAGGTAAGAGTGAGCTTGTGTGTGCCAGAATATAGAGAGCTTGATGTCCAGCCTTTTGGTTGAGTAGCCATATAACCTTCTCTCAGAATACTACAAGAGTATGTCTTTATAGCATGGTAATATAAATGAAGTGGTACTCCCAGTGTGGCCCTCACCTGCATTTGCTGTGTCTGTATCACTGCTAGATGCTGAACAGGTCATATGACAAAATCTACATGCGTTTTAGGCATTGCTGCCAGTGTGTGGCCAATGTGATGCAATCTATCCTCCCGTGACTCCACAGCACATGCATACTTCCATCACGTAACTGGAGAAACACACATCCTGTGATGGGGTTTGACCTTATTTTGTCTCACTTGACAGGTGTATCTAGTCATGTAGTAGGAAGAGAACTGTGAGCAGCCAGTGAAATCCAGAAAAAGTCACCTGAACTACAGCCTTCTCCTTTTCAGGGTCTAAGGCACCCCTGATAAAAAGAATGATGCAGACCAGATTGCTAGCAGAATGTGGCACAAGGTCCACAATCTGGCCATTCCTAAATATATACAAGAAGTCCTTTTATCAGCATAAGACTTTTTTTTTTTTTTTTTTTTTCAGTTAGAACATGGAATTTTTAAGATTTGTTGTTGACAGTTGAGTTTAAATATTTTCTTCAGTTAATACTACAAATCCTCACCTTTGTACTTTTATACTTTTACATCGTAGCATAAGCAACTACTATGGACTGTTGCTTTTTGCTCAGTAAATGCCTAAACCAGATTTTTAAAAGAGAGAAAGGAGTCTGCTAGAGGTAGATTTATCAATATAAGAGAAATAATAATAGACAAAGGTACTCATACCCTTCCTTTCTCGACAAGATTAGTTATCATCACAATAACTTCTATGTTATGTTCCCATATCATTCTCCAGAAATCTTCTGCTGTCGATTTTAGTGGCCCTTGAGCTGCAATGTAGGCTTTTGGCTTGTTGTAACCCTGGATTGAAATATAACAAATGACACTTGTCAAATCACAGTCCATGAGCAAAAGGAGGTTGGGAGAAGTACATGACTTTTAATGCATCTATTTTTAAACAATCTCAAAAGCTTTTAAGAACTTTTGAATTTATAACTACCCAAATTGCAGAAAACTGTATGACATATGAACACAACTGTTATGTCAATGTTTATCATTCCAACAAATAGGATATATGTTCAACTGCCCGTGTTTTGGCAGAATGTTGGCATGATAGTGATTATGAGACATCTGTTATGATAGGGGGTTTAAAAAATGAATCAAGATCATTCACACGTAAATTCCTAGGTAACAAAAACTGAATAAACGTTACATCAGTGAGGCTCACAGCCAAATAGCATCTTCCTTTCATGAGATTATCTCAGGCAGAAGAATTAACCATTTACCAAAAATACATAAAAGAACATTCAGATGCAAAATGCTTCTGAAATGACTCAGATGTGACAGAATACTTTTCGTTTCACAAAACTCTTCACTAAGCTGCAGCTGCTACAAGATCAAGATGGATTCAAGAAAGAGTGGGAGTTTTACCTGTGCTTTAACGTTTTAGGCTTAACATAGATCATTAAAGTTGTGGGTTTTTTTTTTAACAAAATCTGTAAAATTGTGATTTTTTTTTTTTTAATTAAGTCTGTTCACCTCCATGCATCAGTTTTTATAGAAAAGGCTACAGATGAATAGGCTGGCAGGCAGAAAAGGCACTTACATCAACGTAGTTGGCATTAATGTAATCAGTCAGTTTTCCGTCCTTTTCTCCAAGCTGTGCTAATTTAACCCTAGTATGATCATCTGTAGTAAAACAAGGGAGAAAATAAGCATAGTTTTCTTTCAAGAGTTATATTCATTCTATAACAAATCTTTTTGAAAATACTGAAATGGATTTTTACAGTACATAAGACTCAGACATTGACGATCACATATACAAACATCCTGTGCTTAGGTATGAATCAGATTCAACATTCTAGTTTGCAGAAAAACAAACTAATGAATCCACGAATTCAAAAGATTCACCAAAATGATCAAAAGCCCAGAGGCAATAGTTTCAAAGAGATAACAACAAAACTGAATAGATGTGTTTCAGAGAAGAAAAATTTGGGATAGCGAAGAAGGGTGATGCAATGGGAAAACATGTCCTGGCTAATGAAGCTGAACTGTTACATTGTGTCAGGGCGCAATACCACATAAACCCAGTACATTCATATTTACATTTACATTTACATTCACATTCACATTTGACAGTAAATATATCCAGGGATTGTGAAAGCTCCCAGAGAGGATAAATCATCATTATTTCAGATCAAAGATGGATTAATTTTGGCAGTAAAAACCAGCTTCTTTGGCTTTATAATGGCATTATAATGAAATGTCCCAACTCTGTTTGGGTCATCACAGAAAGCACAAATGTGTCTTGCTGACACATGCTCATCAAGCAGCAGAATGCCAGAGGACTAACTTGAAGAGAGGTGAAATGTCATGCTACTCCTCTCCAAGCCTTTTGCTGAACAGTAACCCGAGCTTTCAGTGTATACTGTCTATAATTATTTCTTTAAAATACCAAGTGAAGCCTTTACTTACAAGCAACAATGTTTATGTATCGATTCTTATTCTTGTTGTCAGGGTGATTAGAGCTGTCTGATGTAATACCTAGATCTACAGTACAGCTCTGGATTTCCTGAAATAAAAAGAATAAAAATGTATGTCATACTTTAATGAGTATTAAGGTACATAAACTGTCTTAAAATACAGTAAGCACAAAAAGAACCACAACCTTATACCCCATTATCTATGATATTTTACAACTACTTCATTGCTAAAAAAAAATAATGCAGTGAAATAATTCCTTACCTGATAAAACTCTTTCAGTGTCTAATGAGGGAATGAATGCAAGAAAAGTAAAAAAAAATCAAATTCCACAGCACAGAACAAATGGATAAAAGTGTTTATATAAATTACAATTACTATATGGAAAACAGTTATGGTCATGCAATATATATCTCCATAACAACAATAAAGCTGAATACTGTGATGTAACTCTTAAAGGAAATGAGAGATAATTTTCCTATTAAAATACTGGTGTCTGGTTTCCTATCTTTAGCATTAATGTTAGACCTTAGGCTGCTGAAAGCTTGTATGTATGTGCAAGATCACTGACTTTTAGCCAGATTATCTATCTATTTTACTGTTCATTGGATTTGTTATTGGTCCTTATAACTGCATTAGGTTCTCCAGGGAATGCTGTTGCTCTCTTTGCATTCAGCTGTACAACCATTCCCAGAGCAGGACAGCGTGCTGCTCAGCCAGCGCCGTGTCACGCTGCTGAAGGACAGCATTACGGCCCTCAGTCTGACAGCAGTTTCTCAACAAACCCAGTGTTTTTATAAAGAGAGAAACAGGCTTGAGAAGACAGGCACAAAGTCTGTAAGACTCACAAAATAATTGATTTTCTGTTTTGAATTTCTTTAACTAACAGGAAACTCAGGCATTTATAAGGCCCACATTGCTAAGTAGGAAATACATTGTCATTACTAAAAGTACTATAATAATGTTTCCAACACTTTGTAGGATTTAACATTAACCACCTTCAGCTATTTAAAAAAAAAAAATATATATGAAAAGTGGGTAGCAATCTGAAAATTAGCTTTAAAATATGAGTTATTTTATAGTAATATAAATAGGAAACCTGAACCATCCCTGTACACTCCAAATGTATGCTGACCCTGCAAAGACAATGACTCTATTTCAATTTTTCCGTGTCTTCTAAGTTCTTTATTGGTAGAGGAAAGACCAGGACACTAATTCTGCGATAGTCTGTAAAGCTGAAAAGGATCCCCAAGAAATTATGGGGACACTGAGTTTTTGAAATAGTTAAAACAAGCATGAAATATTTCAGTTCATGCAAGTTCTCAGTGAGAGGCTTTATGTTTGGTCTTTGGATCACTGCTGTAATTTATGAAAAGAATAATTTTAGGAAAAAAAAATTAGGATGAATAATTTTATTCTTGTATTGCTGTCCTCATTTATGATGAAAGAACTTTGTTACTGTTGTATTTACACACAGTCCTTCAACATCTGCTCTTGTGAACAGCCAGTGTAGCTGGAGCCAAGTCCTGCCAGTGTATATGCACATGCAGAACATGTGAACATGTACTGGATATTCACAAGCATTTGCAAGTTTGGCCCCACAATTAGCTGGATATTCTAATGTTAAATGACTTGGATACGAAATGCTGATGAAGAAGGCTGGGTGAATGATATGGAATTTTTTGTCCATTAGAGGACAGTACATTGGCTGTGGAAGCAACAGCAAAGCCAACAGATGCAAAACTAGGAATTTTTATACTTTCAGTGTCGTTTTTGCAGCAGG